TGAATAATCCCAAAATACTCGGAGCAACATTCGACAGCCTGCTCCCCCTCTGCGCACGCAACCGCTATTGTCAATAAAGTACAGAGCCGCAACAAGGTCCTCAAGTCGCTAGCCGGCAGAACTTGGGGCAAAGACAAAGAAATGTTGCTGGCAACATACAAGGCAATAGGCCGGCCGGTTTTAAACTACGCAGCACCAGTGTGGTCGCCGGGGACTAGAAGGACGCAGTGGATGAAGTTACAGACAGTACAAAACACAGCACTTAGGACAGCGACCGGATGCCTCCTGATGTCACCAGAACACCATCTCCACGATGAGGCGAAAATGCTCCCAATTAGGGAGCACAACACGATGCTCTGCAAGCAGTTCCTGGTTGGGAGCCACAGATGTGGCCACACAAACAGACAGCTGCTTGCAGAGCCCTCGCTAAGGCACGTCAGGAGGCATCTATATGAACTGGCGGACGAAGTCCAGAGGTTCATTAAGCAGCCTCTGGACCCGTCAGCTTACAGATAGGCCCTGAACGGCATTCACAGTGACGCAGTCTCAAGTTATGTAGACTCTAGACCTGTGAATGCCGTTCTAGGCACACAAACACCGGACATCGACGCGACGGAGCTCCATCTGCCTCGGGAGACCAGAACAACAATAGCCCAACTTCGCTCTGGCTACAGCAGCAGGCTAAACTCCTACTTGACTAGGCTAAATGCGGATGTGCCGAACGAATGTCCGTCATGCGGAGAGACCCCTCACGACTCAAAACATCTCTTCGCATGTCCGGAAAACCCCACAACCCTAACGGCGTCGTCCCTGTGGACCGACCCCATAGAGGCTGCCGTTAGTGGAACTCTACGACAACGACTGAGATAAAAACCGATCTGGGCGGGGTTGTTGTAGCCGCTACAACAACAACAACTCCTGCAAATTCCAGCTAGTAAAATTTTTGGTTTCAAGAATTTGCAGCTCTCTCGTGTTGTTACGCTCGCGAATTCGTCCTCTTTCGCAAATATTTTGGGTTATAGAAAGGAAAACTTGCAAGTACTAGAACAATTCGTAACAATATTTTGATATTTTGTTTTTTTTTATCATGGACCAAACGAAAAGAAATGGACCAAAATGGCAACCGTGAACACCACCTTGTATAAATTCGTCTTGGCTCGATACTTCCGAATTGATACTGGTATAAAAAAAAGAACGGAAATAAAATTATACGTCTTATATTAATATACATACATATAAAATACAATATTGTCGGCAAAAATAGATATGAAAACCATCAATGAAAAATATACACACATGTTAACAAAAACTAAAACTACACAGGAACTGTAAAAAAACTAAAATTAACGAGATAACTCGGATTACTCCGGCACACAAAAAAATTAGTGTGATGTGCATTTGACCTGTCCGGTTGATTATGTATTTCGACCCGCAGAATCCGAATTTGAAGTCAGTTTGTCCAATATACCTCCTAGATTTCGAGAAAACTGCAAAAACCCGTTTTTTATTGCAGATTTTTTAAGGTTTTTTTTTTGAGTTTTCTCGTAATCTAGGAGGTATATTGGCCAAACTGACTTCAAATTCGGATTCTGCGGGGTCGAAATACATAACCATAGGTAGGTCTGGTCAAATGCACATCACACTATTTTTTTTGTGTGCCGGTATTATATATTTTTTTTTTTATGGATTTAAGTTACGTCATAACGCCTCTTGGGAGAAGTCAAGATCTCCTATTATTCTCAGATTATTATAGGTAAATTCTTTGTTTTAAGCTTTCGGCTGCTGCTGCCAGGCGACATTTTAGACAGAGTAGGTAGATGGTTAAAGCCGGAGCGGGGATCAGGTAGATCTATAACTCGATTTTCGTTTGGATTGCGTTTAGAGCGAGTCGAAAAATTGGATGTAGAGGTTTTATGCGCAACTGTTGTATGGACTATGGAAGAACGTGAATCAGGAGCAATGCTTTTTTGAAAAGATTCATAGGCTTCATCAGTACTCTCATCTGTGCTCCAATCCGATTCATCATTGATGAGAATTTTTGGTGCGACGATTGCTTTCTTTTTAGCCCTCTTGTCCAAAGAAAAACGGTTTTTTATACCTGAACTTTGACGTCCAGATCTACGACAAATCATGGTTGCAATGACGCGAGTTTTCTTTAGTGGAGGTTTGAAGGAAGATTTCATCGGTAACTTCGATCCTACGGCAGAAGCGGTATTACATACATTAGTCATTGGTTTCGTGGAAATGCTGGGACTATTAACTGGGAATATCAAGCTTCTTTTAGCCAATGGTGTATTATTTTTATTTTGGTTTAGTTTACGTTTTTTTGCAGAACTCGCAGATGCAGATCTTGGAACAGTTGACAAATTGATATGGGACAGCGCTTTACGCATAGAAATCAACGAACCGTTCTTTCCTGAAATGGGTGTGCGATTAGTTACAGAATGAGGGGTTTGAGCATTTTTACGTGCACTACTCATTTTGCCTTTTTCTTGCCGCTTTTTCTCCCACTGTTTCCCCATTAACACCAAAATATTTTCGCCATGCACATGAAATTCTTGATGCTCCTGTTCTTCATATGCCATTACTAATTCTTTAATTTGTTCCTCGATTTTCGGTAATTTGGTTGCAATAGTTTTTCGTTCTCTCTCCTCTTTCAACAATTGTCCTCCTCTATTGTTGTAGCGTCCAGGATCGCAGGCCTTGGCCTCCAAGGCTTCCATTCGGTCCCATAATAGTTTTCGATTATCAAACAATTCAAATATTTGACGATTATTTTCATAGAACCGTTTTAGATCTTCTAACTCGATTTCATGCAATACCAATAGGTCTTCTGTGTAACAATTGCTGTGAAAGTTGGAAAAACGATTTCGTTCTGTTTCGGATTTTAGAGTTTTATCCCACAAGTCTACAATCTCAGTACGTATTTGTTGAAGGCATTCTTTTATATTTTGGCTTTGTAATGATTCACAACGGTTTAGTTCTTCTTTAAGTACACTGTATGTGCGTTGATTGAATTCCACGCATCCTTTAAATTTATTTCGGGTATTCGGTGATGTTTTTAAACGGCCCCAAAGAGATTCTAATTTCTTGCGCATACCAACGATACGCTCCGACAATGCATGCACACGAGAGCCGTACAACTCCGCCATTCGTCTGAGCGCTGTGAAAGTTTCATCATTCAATTTAATTTGTCTATGATTTAGAAGTCTATCATCTGCATCTGTGTTAACTTGTGCCTCTAAAGTGTTTAAATAATTTTTTATTTCCCTACGCAACAGTGACATCTCGTTCAAACGTTCCATACGTTCCACCTTCAGTTGATCTAAATGACTGCGAAATTCCATTATTTCTTCTTCTGAAGGCAATGGATCTGCTAATAGAGGCCGCGGTGCTTCACCTAACTCCTCACACAAACCCTCCTGTTCAAGTAGCAGTTCGCATATTTCTTCACGGCGCCGTCTCAATTGTTCTCGCAATTCAGATAAACTTTTATCCATATCCGACTGTAGAGTCAACAAAGGCACATTTCTGTCTTCCATTCTTGGCAACTGTACTTTTGGTTTCAGTAAACGACACAACGTGTCTGCTTCATTGCGTAGTTCTTCTAATTCATTCTCTATTAACTGTTTTCTTTGAATAGATTCTTCTTTCAATTCCGCGAAAAATGTTTTAACATGCTCCTTGAGTTTCTTAAAGTTATACAAGCATATTTCTTCGTCGAACATTTCCGTCCATATGGAGGCGAGCTCATCCACATTTTCAGCTGTTATCCTCTGCAGCTCGGAATTCTCATTTTCGAAGTCAGCCATTTTATATGCTTTCTTCCCGTTAGCCCTGAAACTTTGCAGTTCTTAATATAAATGCATTCCCATTTAACATATCAACATACCCAGGCGATGAAATTATATCCAAAGGGTGCCCCTGTTTTCACGAGCTTTCTTGCCAATAAAATGACAGGTTAGTCCCATGAACCAACGACTATATTTTTGGACTGTATTTTTGGTTCATGGGTTAGTCCTGTAAGATGTAGTTCTTTAAAGTGACACTGATGCACAGTATAGAGATGTCGGAAAAACATCGATGCATCGAAAATATCGATGTTTTGCTTCGATGCATCGAAAATTTTCCTTTCGATGTATAAATAGTCGATGTATCGATGCATCGATGTATCGATGTTTTTTGAAAACTGACATCTACGGTACATTGAACGTCATTCCAGTTTTTCAATTGTTAAAAAAAAAGAAGTGACTTTGGCCAAGAAATTTAAATGGCTGCAAAATGTTCCGTTAGAACCATAATTAGCTCAGTTGCAGTAATTTATTTAAAATGTTCTACAATTTTGCTAATGACATATTTTGTTGTGAAACATGTGAAAATGCTATGCAAATCGATGCATCGATCTATGCCCTTCGATGCATCGAAAAATATCGATGTACATTTCGATGCATCGAATCAAAGAAAAACATCGATGTATTTTTGCCACTGACATTCCTAGCACAGTATAGACAGTAGGCAACCATGATCCAACTACACAAGATCTGACAAGATGAAGCAAAAGAAAAAAGTAATTTTCTGGCTGACGTTTGTAATTTCGGCGCCATGTTATTTTCTGTGAAAAGTAAACAAAGAATATGAAGACGAAGCATAAAGAAAAAATGCAAGCAATTTTGTAGCACATGTTTGTGCTAACCAATTTATTATTTTTGTAGGTGTTTTTTGCATCCAATCACCGCACACTTCATTCATTTCATTTCAATTACATTTGCACAAAAAATAACTTAAAAATCACTGAAATAAATCACCGACAAAATAGACATAAAGAAAGAAGCAAAACAAAAATAGCAAACTTCAAAATTACGAACGTCACATACTTTTTTCTCAATTGCTATTACAAATGGCTGCTTCTCAACCGGTCAGATCTGTTCTAATTGGTTCATATGAATAGAAAAAAAGTTATCGAAAAATCTATTTAACAAACATTTCTGTTTTATTTTCAGAGGCTATTTCTCGTTTACCTAGTACAGAAAATTCTGAAGTACAATTTCGCGCTGCATTCAGGATCCATAAAAAACGTTATCTTAAAAAAACCCATCACTAAACAAAACTACGTAATTTGGATTACTCAGTATTCGATTTAATCCAATATTCTACTTTCAATTGAATGACTGACTTAATTCTAGTTCTTTTGTTTTAAGAAATCACCATTTATGTTCAAATTACTACTTGATGTTATACTTAATTCACGGTATTAATGGTATTTTAAGAGGAATTTTATTCCCAGCATTTTATTTTCAATTCCAATTTTAAGGATTTTAATGTAACTTTCTTTTGTGTTGAATTATTTATTATTATTTTCTTAGATTTGTTTTAAATGATTGGCCTTTGAATTCTAAATTATGAAAAATGTTTAACAAGCTCGGGGCCCAGCAATTTAATAAAACTCAAATATTTGTTCTATACATATTTTAGATTGTCGATATATCGACATCACTCTGAGGTCATCCTCAGGAGCTGTTGATTACCCCAGGGCACAATGAAGAGTTCCTGTGTATGAACTCAGATTGAGGTCGAAACACATATCGACAATTACAAATATTAAATAATAGGACGAAAATTTGAGTTTTATTAAATTGCTGTGCCCGGAGTTTATTCAAAATTTGTATTCACGGGCGGAATTCACTGAAAACACCTTCGCTGCTCTCCCCACACCAACCGACGTCCACCTTGTTGAACGTAAGTGCCACAGGGCTGTCACCGCTGCTGCAGCTCGCTTCGTACCGGCAGGAGCATCTGAAGACCTACAACTTCACCTCTGGTGTGAGTAAGCTTTGGTCAACCGTGATGTCACTGTCCAATCCGACGAAGCACGACGACAGAGTCGAAATTTCTTTCGGCGACCATGCTTCGTCGGACCCGGAGCGCTGCGCGAGCTATTTTAGCCTGCAGTTCATATTGCATCCTCCGGTGGACAAAGCCAAACGTCGAGTGTCCAGAAGGCTGCACAAACTGCCAACAACCTGTACCCCCTTTCACTTGCGGTGAAGTTCAGGTGGCCATCGGGAAGGCGAAAGCCTCCAAAGCCATGGGTCCCGACGGAATATGCATGCTGATGCTGAAAAATTTGGGTGCTGCGGGTGTAGCGTACCTAACGGAGGTCCTCAGCTTGTCCATGGCCACTCTCATCACCCCAGACATTTGGAAGGTGGGGAGAGTCGTCCCACTGCTCAAACCGGGGAAACCTGCCAACATAGGAGATTCTTATCGTCCGATAACACTCCTTTGCCCGGTAGCGAAGACACTCGAGGCCTTACTACTCCCGTATTTCTCAAACCACTTGACCCCAGCGAAGCATCAGCATGGTTTCCGTAAAGTGCACAGTACAACAACAGCACTTAACGCCATAAACACTCAGATAACTCGTGGCCTTAACCGTAAACGTCCGTGTGAGAGAACGATTCTAGTAGCGTTGGACCTGTCAAAGTCTTTTGACACTGTCAGCCATTCCACGCTGCTAGTAGATGTAGAGGCTTCCTCTCTCCCACAGAGGCTCAAACGGTGGTCAGCGAATTATCGGAGTGGTCGACACTCGTCGTTAATGTTTAGAGACAAATTGCACAGTACAACAACAGCACTTAACGCCATAAACACTCAGATAACACGTGGCCTTAACCGCAACTGTCCCTGTGAGAGAACTACTCTAGTAGCGTTGGACCTGTCAAAGGCGTTTGACACCGTCAGCCACTCCACGCTACTAGAAGATATAGAGGCTTCCTCTCTCCCACAGAGGCTGAAACGGTGGTCGGCGAATTATCGGAGTGGTCGACACTCGTCGTTAATGTTTAGAGACAAATTGAGCAAACTTAAAAAAATAAAACAGGGGGTTTCACAGGGTGGTGTCTTTTCCCCGCTACTGTTTAACTTTTACATTTCAGAGCTCCCTCAACCACCAGAGGGAGTCTCGATCGTCTCCTACGCCGACCATTGCTCGATCCCGGCGACTGGGAAAGTAAACGGGTATCTCTCCGATCTTTCTTGCTTCTTCACTGCAAGGAGCCTAACCCTCTCCCCTACGAAATCCTCTGCGACCCTGTGCACAACCTGAACGAAGGAGGTTAGGCTACCGCTAAGAACTCACGTGGATGACACACCAATTCCGACGGTGAATAATCCTAAAATACTCGGAGTAACATTCGACAGCCTGCTCTCCTTCTCTGCGCACGCAACCGCTATTGTCAATAAAGTACAGAGCCGCAAGAAGGTGCTCAAGTCGCTTGCCGGCAGTACTTGGGGCAAATACAAAGAAACGTTGCTGGCAACATACAAGGCAATAGGCCGGCCGGTTTTAAACTACGCAGCACCAGTGTGGTCGCCGGGGACTAGTAGGACGCAGTGGACGAAGCTACAGACGGGTCAAAATACAGCACTTAGGACAGCGACCGGATGCCTCCTGATGTCACCAGAACACCACCTCCACATGAGGCGAAAATGCTCCCAATTAGGGAGCACAACACGATGCTCTGCAAGCAGTTTCTTGTTGGGAGCCACAGATGTGGCCACCCAAATATACAGCTGCTTGCAGAGGAGCCCTCGCCGAGGCACGTCAGGAGGAATCTATATGAACTGACGGACGAAGTCCAGAGGTTCATTAAGCAGCCTCTGGACCCGTCAGCTCACAGACAGGCCCTGAACGGCATTCACAGGGACGCAGTCTCAAGTTATGTAGACTCTAGACCTCTGAATGCCGTTCTAGGCACACAAACACCGGACATCGACGCGACGGAGCTCCATCTGCCTCGGGAGACCAGAACAATAGCCCAACTTCGCTCTGGCTACTGCAGCAGGTTAAATTCCTACCTGAGAGGGTTAAATGCGGATGTGCCGAACGAATGTCCGGCATGCGGAGAGACCCCTCACGACTCGAAACATCTCTTCGCATGCCCGGAAAACTCCACAACCCTAAAAGCATCGTCTCTATGGACCGACCCCATAGGGGCTGCACGCTTCTTGGGGCTGTCGTTAGTGGAACTCGACGACAACGACTGAGTTATCAGCCGATCTGGGCGGGGTTGTTGTAGCCCATACAACAACAACAACAAAACCGCAAATTTTTGAACGCAAATTCATTCAATAAATCATGTCGTGTTAAATTATACTCTTCGTTTCGCGTGATCTTATATATTTGGTTTATGGGTTCAATGTACCATATATTAAAAAAACATCGATGTATCGATACACCTAGTGGAAAATGCTCGATGCTTCGAAGGAGAACATCGATATTCTCGATGCATCGATATTTTGGCTACATTTCTAATTTGCGGTCTATGGTAAAATTCACCCAAAAGTTAATTATTGGTTAACAACTAAGAAGAATAACTTTGTGCTCTTAAAATACTAATTTAGTTACCTATATAAAGCATTATACTAAAAATATCATGATAGAAAGTAACTGAGGAAAACGAAATTATATTATTCGATTAGCGTGATCAAAAAAGTGTCCAAGATATGGAAACTAGCACCCTATTAGGAGGCACTGTGCCTAACGGCGACCGAATATGTCGAGTTTGTTTGCAAGAAAATGTTGAATTGTTCTCAATTTTTAAAGAAACTTATAGTAGTGGCGTCACTATAGCGCATATTTTATCGGAATGTATCCGGTACCCCATAATAGCAGGCGATCTAAAACTTCCGCATCATATTTGCTCCTGTTGTCTGGATAAAGCCCGTGCTGCCTACGATTTTAAACAGCGTGTGGAAAAGGCGTATGTTTCATTACTGGATCAGGTGGCAGAAAATATTAAGTGCAATACAAAACAGGGGATATCATCCTCTCGACTTAGGGATTATGGTACACAAACTGATAGACTCAGCTTACATCCTTGTGAAATGTGTGAAATGAAGTTTTTCGACTTGTTGGAACTTCGCCAACACCGTAAGCAGTTTCATCACAATAGCAATTTGCAATGTCGAATTTGTGGAATACGCTTTGAACGCATCAGACAGTTGCGAAGCCATCTGGTACACAAACACCCAAGTGTTGGTATTGCATTGGATATACAGTGTTCAATATGCCGGAGACGCTTTTCACGTAGAGAGCACTTAAATCGTCATTTGCGTAACGTACATCACCAACCTGAGGCCGTGAGGTGATATAAAAAAAAAAAAAAAATCAATGGTTTTAACTTATTTCTATCTTTGAATACGTACCTTTTTAGTATTAGAGTCTCTCTCAAGGAGCCAGAAATCGAACTATCTAGTCATAAAACTAAGGCACATCAACCAGCTAAACCAAAAGATGTGGAGGTGAAGATGTAAGTAAAACGCGTTGTCAATTTGTAATACATTAAAAACATTTTTTTATTAAGTTTGGAAAAAGAAAAACAGGAGGTGGAAAGTAACTTTCAATTAGAAAAAAACACTGGTGCCGCCGAAAACGAAGACTTTCTGGTTTCTTCCCATTTTCTTGAATGTGGGCAGCATGTGCATGGCGAGATTGAAAGTGATGTAAATATGATTACTAACCCAATTTCGAGTGATGAGGAAGCCAACGACGGTATGGAATTACCTGATGATATCTTACCTCAATTAAAATTAGAGCATGAACCCGATATAAAAGGTATTATATTAATTTTATTAATTCTATTTATACTAATGAGTATTTAGTTAAATGTGAATTGGATGATTCTACGAATGGCTTCGACATGGCAATGATATCACCCGATTGGGAAAGAAGTAATTCGCCGGTTAATAAAAGTGCAATCAAACAAGAAAAAAGTTTGTTCATACCCTTGGGTGTGGAAAATTTATCTACACCGAAGAGAAACTCAAGCTCAAATGAAGAGTACAACGACTATACCGAGCGCCGGCGTATAACCGAAGTTGTTGACGAGTTCCTTGCAATTGATGAAACAGCTAATTCAGAAAACCGTTGTTCGAAATGCCAACGAACCTTTTCGCGTCACTGCCATCTGCGGCGTCACATGCTAACACACGTTGATGAAAAGGCACATGCGTGCACCTACTGTCCGAAACGTTTTGCACGAAGTGACCACCTTAAAAAGCACGTTATGAACCTGCATCAAGCAAAAGAGTTCAAGTGTGATCATTGCAATAGTGCGTTTGCTCGTTCAGCCGAATTGACGAAGCACATTGAAACACGACATGGTAGCGATCCTCAAGCTCATAAGGTGCATGACTGCGAGTATTGTGGCAAAAAGTTTACAAGCCGAACTTATCTTCGTAAGCATATCTTAATGCATACCGATCGCGTTTTTGCTTGTAAATTTTGCGAAGAGACATTTAAAGAACGTAAGGCATTGCGTGAACACGAGAAAGGTCATCATAGTGACCGACGGAATTTTCTCTGTTCGGTGTGCGGAGAAAGTTTCGTCCGTAACGATTATTTGCGTGTACATATGCGGCGACACAATGGCGAAAAGCCGTACAAATGTCAGTATTGTGGAAAAGGTTTTCCGCGTGCAACTGATGTAAAAATACATGAAAGGTATCCTGTTATTTGTTATACAGCTTAAATTACGATAGAGAACAATATTGTTACATTTTAGATATCATACGGGCACGAAACCTAACTTGTGCACTCTATGTGGTAAGGGTTTCCATCGCGCCTACAATCTCACCATTCATATGCGCACACATACAGGTGAACGACCTTTTAAGTGCGAAGAATGTGGCCGTGGATTTGCTCAGAGCAATGATTTGAAAGCTCATATACGCCGACACACTGGTGAACGTTTCAAGTGTCCTGAATGTGATGCTGGTTTTCTGCAAATGTACGCACTGCGACAACATGCACAGGCGGTGCATGGCATACATATGGAGCCTTCAACCGGACGCTTGCAAAGATTTGCTCCTCTTGAAACAACAGTGACAGCGGGGCAGCCACTTGCAAGCAGCAATTTGTCGCATTCTATTGGTGAACATGCACAGTTGTTACAGCAGCATCAACAATTGTTACAAGCTCAAATTTCTAGTGCTATACTAATGCCACAGCCACCTTCTTCTGTGTAAAACCAAGAATTAGCCTATTTACCGACAGCTGTCATATTGCTTTGGGGCATTGTATTTGCATACATAAATAGTTTTTATATGGTATTCATAGTGAGTTGAAGGTAAGCTTATTTTGTATAATTCAATGATCAATTCAGTATCTGGTATGCAGAAATTAAGTTATTAATCCATATGAATAAAGCTTAGGCAATTTCCTTTTCTAAATGTTCGGTTAGTCTAGACTTAACTTACGTAAGAAAGTTTAAGCTTTTGCTTGGAATTGCTTGTTTGCTTATTCAAGGTTTCCAAGCTTAATTTTAAGGACCATGCTTATTTTGCTTATTTCTATGTATAAAGCTAAGTACGGACATTTTAAACAAACGGTCAAGAAAAAAATTGCTATTGTGTGGGTATAGTAGCGTCCGAGGAGTTTTGACATCTGATATTTCACAGCTTGCTGCCTAACCTTTTCCTTATGAAATAATGGAACGAGCATATACATACATATTTCTATTGAAAACAAGGGTGCGTTGTGCTCTTCACAAACAAACTTTACTAAACCATGGTAGAAAGCGTAGCAAAATTCTTAAGAACTTTGTTCTGCTTAAGAAAAATTGGCTCATATCAAACAGGTAGTAGCATTAGATTATTGGAGAGATTAAAAATAATTTATCTCAAATGGAGAATAACGAATATTTAAAAAAATTTAAACGACCAGCGCAGATCTCTATTACTTGAAAATATCAGCGACACTTGGTTGTCTTTTGTAATGTTTCAACTCTCTAAATACCTTTACCTTTGCGCATCTTATATTCCGCCAGCCAGTGAGGATCGCATTTATAGTGCTCATGTCGATAACATTATTGCTCTGCAATCGGAAATTAGTGCTCACCAGTTATGTGTTTTAGGGGACTTTAACCTTAGCAATATTTCGTGGTCCTATTTGCACAACAACATGTATTTAACTCCATCTAATATAAGCAGTAATACCGAGTCCTACTTAGTTGATAATTTATTAAGTATCGACTTAACACAAGTCAATGGGTTCTCAAATAGTCTAAATCGGATCTTAGACTTAATTTTTGTTAGCAATAACATTAAGTTTAAATTATATCTTCCCGTTACTGCAATTTCCCCGCCTAATATGCATCATTTTCCTTTAATATTGGAGATTGAGTTTTTTGAATACTTTTGCATTCCTAGAGATATGCAAAGGGTTTCCTTTAACTATGGCTCTTGTGACTTTGACTTTCTTGACCATACCTTCTCCTCTATTGATTGGAATGATGTTTTTGGGTCAGGCGATGTTGCTTTTTGTTTTAATGAATTCAGGAATATTATTTTTAATCTAAGTAAGATGTATATACCTATTCATGCCAAAATGTCTTACAAGCTACCTTGGCACACGAGGGAGTTGAAGCGTCTTAAGAATCTAAGAAATAAGTTCTTTAAAAAGTTTAAGCAAACTAAGGACAGCACACACTTTGTTTCCTATACGAGTTACCGAGATCAGTTTAATACTCTCAATAAGTCCTGCTATAGGGGTTACATTGCCAATTTTGAAAGAAACATTAAAAGCAATCCGAAGTGTTTCTGGAACTACATTAAGTCTATGAAGGGTGTATCTAACGTTCCCACCTCGGTTTATTATAAGAATGCTACGGCAGCCTCGTTATATGAGGCAGCTGACCTTTTTGCTGATTTTTTTGCCTCAAATTTTGTATCAGATGATGGGGTTGGTGAGCTAATTGCGGATAGTGACACTAACCATATGGAGTGTGCTTCCTTCGATGTAGGCTCTCTGATTCTCAAAGACGGAGATATTCTAGATGGTATTAAAAATCTTAAACATTCTTGTCATACAGACGAAGATGGCATGTCTGCTATTTTATTAAAGAAATGCGTTTCCTTAGTGGAACCCTTGAAATTTATCTTTAATAAATCGCTATCGTCTGGCATCTTTATTGAGGAATGGAAGCATACCTCCATCACGCCGATATTTAAAAGCGGCAATAAGAGTGATGTCAGCAACTACCGTCCGATCTCTAAGCTAACCACAGTTTCTAAGCTCTTCGAAGTTATAATAAAAAATAGGCTGTTTTATACTTTACCACGGGTTATTTGCTCCAATCAGCATGGTTTTGTTGCAGGCAGATCCACTGTAACTAATCTTGCCGTTTTTACTGACGATTGTATTAAAAGTTTCATTGCAGGGTATCAAATGGATACAATATACACGGACTTTTCCAAGGCATTTGATAGAATTTCGCACACGATTTTAATTAGTAAACTTTCGCAGCTTGGGTTTCACTCGTCCATGCTTCAGTGGATAAAGACCTATCTATCACACAGAACTAGTTCTGTTGTTCTAGATGGCGCTTCTTCGAAGACCTTTTTGCTCACCTCTGGAGTTCCGCAAGGTAGTATATTGGGCCCATTGTTCTTCTTAATATTTATTAATGACATCGGGTCGTGCTTTGCTACCTCTAAGTATCTCTTATACGCAGATGATTTAAAAGTCTACTCAGTTATTAGATCTTATAATGACGCGCTTCTACTTCAAGCTGATCTTGACAGATTATTTTTGTGGTGTGTTAAGAATCGCTTATTTCTTAACATTAAAAAATGTAACCAAATCACGTTTTCAAAACAATCTACACCGCTATCCACATCATACCGTATTTCTGATACTAGATTGGAGTCTCTCAACGTAGTTAAGGACCTCGGAGTATTTTTCGATTCGAAATTTACCTTCATTACGCATGTCAATTATATCGTAGCTAATTCATTTTCGATGCTTGCTTTTGTAAGACGCAACAGTACTGCGTTTTTGAATCCCTACACTCACAAAGTCTTATACTCTGCATTTGTTCGGTCTAGATTAGAGTACGCTGCCTTTATTTGGAGACCTTATTACCAAGTCCACATAAACAGGATTGAGTCAGTCCAGCGCGTGTTTATCCGACACGCCTTAAGATCGCTTAACTTCTCCGACCCTATCCCATCCTATTTTTCACGTTGTCAATTAATTAACTTAATGCCATTGCATAACCGAAGAATTTTCCTGTCCATTTCCTTCATTTTTGATGTAATTTCCGGTAACGTTGATTGCCCCTTACTGCTCAGCAGAATTTATTTCAATGTTCCTAGCAGAATTTTGCGGCATTCTGATTTGTTTAGAATCGCTTTTAGCAAAACTCTTTACAGTCGAAATGCTCCCTTAAATAGAACTTTGCAAGAAATCAATACGATTTCTAGTTCTCTAGACCTTGATCTCTCTATGCCAAAGGGTATTTTCCGAAATCGGCTTGAATCTTATTTAAGTAATCTCAATAATATTTTATAATATGTAATTTTTTCTAATATGTGTAGTCTGTAAGAACATCCTGTTGTAGACTTCATAAACAAATAAATAAATAAATAAACTGAATAAAAAAAGTAATTTTTAAGCAAAAAATAAAACCGACTTCAATTCTCATAAAGAAGTTTAAGATTAGCGTTAATTTCTTTATGATCTGACGATGGGATTTAAACCAAATTAAAATTGGGCTACCTGTAAGGTAACACCTTTCCTTTAAAAAATAATTATAGAAATCGGTTAACGTGGTCCAAAGTTATGCGGTAACATACATAAAAAAAATCCGACTAATTGATAACCTTTCTCCTTTTTGTAAAGCCGGTTAACAAAACATTAAACTGTACTTAAAATTTTGTTGTTATTTTTCGAACATATTTGCAAGCATATTTACTAATGTTTTAGGGCTTATCTAAGCGCTTAAAATTGTTTTTTTTTTCTTGGCTATTTTCTTCGGCCCTTTTGGTTACTCAACACCTGAACTTAGCCAGAAGTGAAACCATTTTTAAATTAAGTCTAGATTAACTGAACCTTAAAAATGTCAGACCTTTTACTTAATTTTAATTGAATAAGTACAGTAAATCGAAGGCTGAGTGGAAGATCGACCTATCTCGGCAGCCAGTTCGAAAACGTCCTATCTCAGAAAACTTTTTCAAGAACGCCCTACTTCAGAATTTGATTGAAAAACGCCCTATCTCAAAATTTGGTTGAAGAACGCCCTATCTCAGCTTATTTTCAATGTATTTTCGTTTGAGATCGGGCGTTTTTGAACCGAATTCTGAAGTAGGGCGTTCTTGAAAATTTTTCTGAGATAGGGCGTTGTTGAAAATTTTTATGAGATAGGGCGTTTTCGAACTGGCTGCCGAGATAGGTCGATCTTCCACTCAATGTGGTGTCCTCAATATGTGATTTACTATCTATTAACAGTTGCGTTCGAGAACACAAAAATGTGTAATAGTTTTTCCTAATTTTTACAAGTTGGCGTTCGATAACGACAAAAAATTATCCATCACACAAAAACAGAGAGAACAAAAGTTCATTGTGGTGCTGGAAAAATTGTAGCCTAATGCTAATAAGTAATCCAATAAAAATTTTGGAAGAACTTTCTCAAACCCAGTGAATAAAACTTTATTGTATTGTAACCGAATATTTATGGGAAAAACTTTATTATTGTGTAGTTGAGAGTCTCAACTACAACAACTCAACTTGAGACATTTTAAGAGTAGTTCTAAGAAGGCTTAGTATGAGATGCAAATTTTTTCTTAGAAAGTTCATTATTTGCAAGTCAAATGCATAATTTTGGTTTTGCACAATTTTACGCTGATATAAAGTTTTGGCCGTATTTAAAAATGAATAAATGTCGTGTTACTCTTATTTACCTGTTTATTTTATTAAACGATAAATCCTATTTATTCAATTCAAACTTAAATATTAGTTAGAGAGTCCTTTAACATAAAGTAATCTAACGAAATATGGAAATATTGATAAAAAAACCTCCAGATACTTACAGAAGTGGTCCATTAATTTATACTTTAGTATTCATGGGATGTCAAACGAACGCAGATTAGTTGTAACCAGACATTGAGTAACCGGCCCTTAGGGCCGACCTGTTGCACCATTGAGTATATCGAACTCATGTGTTACGATTGGCCCAACGGATGTGATTTGCCAATATTATTATGCGTTAAAGCCTCATTCGAAGAAACCAGGGTTGAGTTGTGCAGTGGTAGATCTCAATTCACCACCTGTCGAAATACCCTAAAAGCCAGTTTCATGAAAGCAATTTAATGAAAGTTTATTTTTTGAATGAATTTAGGGCCGGTTGCTCAATGTCTGGTTAACACTAATCTGCGGTTAAACATCGTTATCGACGTTTTCGACTCCATGCATATAAAAGGACGTCGATAACTATGTTTAGCCGAAGGTTAGTGTTAACCAGATATTGAGTAACCGGCCCTTAATATAGAACCTGACAGAAAAAAATCTTTCTGTTGAACAAGGATACGCATTCATTTTGAAATTGCCACTAACTATAAGATAAAGTTTCTAGGGCTCATTCACTATAGATCCGGCTCATTGTTGCCACCAGGGAACTTCTCATGGACATAACACTTTCGTTCGGTTATTTAAGGCGGCAAACGACCACCAAACCGTAGTGTTAGCTGATGAATGTGCAGTACAAATCGTAAATGTGGATTGTTGGAGAAACTGTTGGACCAAAATGTTTAAATTAAAAATCGAATTTTGGGCGAGACGAAGTTCGCCGGGTCTGCAAGTACAATATA